GGGGGGAGGGGGGTGTGGCAGCCCTGCAAGGGGTAACGAGGCAGCTGGGTCTTAAGAGATCAGAGACTCGCGCCTGCCGGGTAGGCATTCGGCGCAGCTCTCTCGGCTGGTGATGCCGAGACCGTCGCTGAAAGTGCCGGCGGGGCATCCGGTGCACTGCTCCACACTGGTGGCACCTGCAGCATTATGTTTCTTTATACTTCATGCTATTACAACATACTGTATTATTAAATACGATGCAACATTATACTGTACTATCCTATCCTATACTATGCCATAACATACTGTAAGTAGCAAGATGACCCTTGTTCGGAAGGTGAAACAGCGGCGCGATACCAGCCAACCTCATATGCCCTACACCAAGACTTCAGGAAGACTCAGAACTCTGCAACGGGCCTTCTACGGCGCTCCACGTTCCACGTGGACAAAAGGAACAGCTTTCAAGGGCATCGGCGCCCACCTGCCCACTGAGGGAAGAGTCAAGGGGAAGGCTATGAGATACTAGAATATACTCTAATATACTACGGAGTACTATTACATACTAATATGCTAGAACATACTCTAATACTATAGTATACCAAAATATACGGGTAGTTCTCCAAATGAAGATGCCTCTTTAGATCCCCAAAAAATAATACGGCAAACTTATAAAAAGGACCCTAAAAGGGACCCTACTTTAGAGAACTACCCATGCTACAATGAGTCAAGAGGACGGAAGGGTCAGGCTTTCGGGTCGTGAGCTGAGGTATGGAACTGGATGAGGGCTTGGCGGTTAGGGTGTGGTGTTTTTGGGATTTTGGGTTTAGGGTTAAGGATGGTCTAGGAGTTTAGGGGTTAGGGTTTTGGGTGGAGGATTTAGGGTTTGAAAGTTTAAGTCTGGTGCTGCATGGCAACTCGAGGGGCCCTGGGCCCCGAAGCCCCAACTCACAGCTTGAGCATCAAACTCATTTGATCTGCTCCTTCCCATCCGAAGGGTCAATCGAACTTTAGGGTTTAGGGTTTAGGGTTCTGACATCCGCCAGGCACCTTGCCGCTGAAGCGGCCAGCTGGACAGTGCTGGCAGACGTTTTGGTCCGCACCGATCCTTCTGGGATTCTCTAGTTGTGCTTTGGAGGCTTGGGGCAAAACGAAGGGGAGATCAGAGAATTCGGGGCGGCATGCCGAAAAATCTTCCGCGACTTGTGCGAGGAGGAAGGTTCCGAATAGCAACTCAGCATGACATCACGGACTGATTTAATGTAGTACGAACCGAATCATACTTAGAGCCGTTGTCGTAGGCAACATCCGAAACTACCAGCTACCAGTTAAACATGCAAAGGTGATTGTGGATTATGTGGGGTAGCTTGGGCACCCATCATCACTACAAGCCCTTGCGGCATCCGCGCAAATAGATTGCAGTGACTGCAGCCTCGGCACACCTGACTCCACATGCCCGCTGCACATGGCTGACCTCGATGGTTGACAGTTGCAGAATCGTCTTTGATTGTCCCTAAACCCTAAACCCCCAAACCCTAAACCCTAAACCCTAAACCCAACTCTGAAATCCGTCTCAAAACTGCACCCAAAAGTTCCCCAGACCCAGGAAACACTACAACCCACGCCCTGCCTTGTCTCCTCACGTCACTTCTCAAATAGTAAGGGAAATAATAGCTAGTAATATTGATTGTAATTGTAATCGTAATAAGTAGTAGTAGCAGTAGCAATAGCATTAGTAGAAGCAGCAGCAATAGCAATAGCAACAGCAGCAGTAATAGTACTAGTAATAACTATTATGACAATGACACTAATGATACTACTTATTTTCATTCTTAACGAATATATTTAGTCTAAAAGAATAATGATAATGAGAAGAAGAATAATAAGATTTAGGCCAAAAAACCGCAACAAACAAAGCCTTCTCTGAGGGCCGGGCAGGCCTCCGCGGAGGAGGCGCCCTCCACGGAGCTCCAGGTCCCTGCCGGGCACTCGAAGCAGGCGCCGATGGAGGAGAGGCCGGTCTCCTCAAGGAGCTCATCTCTTTTTCTTGTTATATTGTGTCGAACTATATCGTATTATGTACTACTTTATTTTATGTTTTATTGTAGAACATTACTACTCCATAGTATACCAAGTTGTATTATATTACACAATAATATATCACATTACATCATGTCATATTATACAATATTATACTAGCGTTCAGTAAAGTGTAGTATAGTATAGTATCAGGGGGAGGGGTGCGAGGCTCCTCAGAGGAGTGTGATGAGGTTCCAAAACCGGAAAGGGCTTGAGACGGTTTAGGGTTTAGGGTCCGGGCTACAGGCGATGCTTGGGTTTGGCATTTGTAGTTCCTCTTCGGGCAACGCTATCTTGGGCTGAAGAGAAGGCCGGTTGAGGCTTAGTTTAATGCTCTAACGACTTTAGAATTCAGCCGGGATGGGCTTCATGTTGGGGGCTCTCCAACACTGCAACAGAATTGTCAACCGGAAACACCAAGGGTCGTTGCTCCATCGCCCCATGGGACAGGCCATGCAAGCGTTGGCCGATGTGGCCCCCACCTGGGGCAGCTCAAAGAGTTTCGGGGTTTGCCGTCGTACCTACAATACACAGTGTCATATCGTGCAATATAATGGAGTGTAATACACATAGTACAATACATATAGTATGATGTAATGCAGATTATTATTGTATAACATGATGTCATATCATTTAACACAATATAATGCAATTTATCTTAGTATAGTAAAAATGTAACATAAAGTACTATAAAGTATAGTGTGCTAGACTACTACTATTTGCTATTGCAAAAATGATGTAAGAGCAGTAACCCCCCACCTGGCTGCTCCAGGTCCCGGCAGGGCACGTCTCACAGGTTTCTGCGGAGGTGGCACCACGCTGCCAGCTGAAAGAGCCGGCACGGCAAGCACGGCAGTCTAGGCCATCCTTGCCTCAGAGAATGCAATGGACGGCAATACGAGACAACACAAATTTACTATAGTAGAATATCGTATCATATCAAATCAGATCGTATCATGTCACGTCATGTCGTACAAAAAGTAATATTACACTTTACAGTATCATGCCATATAGAATCATCTACTATGACATAACATATAATGTACTGTAATATCATGACATATAACATTTGAGAAATATAATCTGATATAATCTAAAAAACACTCTCTGGTTTAATACAGAAGGAACTATAATCCAAAAAACACTATATGTTATAATATAGAAGGAACTAACATAATTGACGTAATGCAAAATATTAAAGTACACTAAACTTGATCACTTCTGGATTGGTCCAGGAGTTAGCTTGCTCGGTGTTTAGGTGGCATGAAACTTCTGCCGACCTGAGCCATAACTGTGACAAGCGAGGCGCCGTAGGTGCCCGCCACACAAGGAAAGCAGGGATGCCCGGAACTGGGCCGCGATTGCCCCGCAGCGCAAGGGAGGCTTGGAATCGCCGCTGCCCGGCTCTGCAGGAGGCCCAAACTACAGCTGCCCTGGTCTTCGGCTTCACACTCGTCGGGAGGGAGGACGTCAGCAAAAGCACATTGCGCCAAGAGCGCGATCAAGAGGAGGAACTGGGCCTTCACGGCCATTAACGCTAAGCGCTGTCACCAGGAAGAGTAAAGCTTTTGAGCCAAAGGCTGCAACCGCCGAGGCAGGACTTTCACTTCTCCAACATCACGCGCGAGTGAAGTCGTATGAGGCTGAAACCCAGACTCAGTGAAAAAAACCCGAAGCCAGCAGCAGCTGCAGAGTCCCCAGCCTTCTGCATGGCCCTGCTTGCCCAGACATGGCGACCATCGCTCTGCTACTCACACAGCAACTTTGAAGCAGACCTCAGAGCCTCCGCTGGATCAAAGCAAAGCTGAAAGCTGTCAGGGCTGATTCACCCACCGGACGGGGATGCATGGAGCAGTAAGCCAACCCAACCAAGCCGCCGAGTGCGAGAGACTGCAAATACGAGAAGGGAGGCTAAGAGCCAAAGACACAAAACTGCAAGCGAGCTGGTCCGGCTGTGTGTTTTTGTCAGTGCAGCAGAGTGGATTTTCGAAAATTTATGACACCAGTTTAGAAAGCTAGCATCTGGAACCGCATGGAAGGTGAAACTTGGGGGTTTGGAAACCACGACCCCTCGCGAAAAGAAGGCTGCGCTGCATCACTTGCGTCACAGCTGGCGCATTGCAGGCAGGTTGCCCTGGGTTGTTGACCTCGAAGTCCGATGCGCGAGGCCGCATCCAGGTCTCGTTTGTACGACTATCGTTCGAGCTTCCACAGCAAACACCACGCTAAGTACGATTTCCCTGCACTCCGTGAGCCCTTCCAGCCGCAGCAGATCCGTCGCACAGAGACTCTGCAGTCAAAAGAAGAGACATGAAAGCTAGGGTTTAGGGTTTACCGTTTAGAATGCTAGTCACTGAGGCCATGGCCCCAATTTGTCTGCTTTCTCGGCGATGGAGAAAAGGCTTCCCTGGTTGGACCTGCCAGGATCAAAGAGCACAACAGCTGTTTGTTTGCCCTAGCCTTCATGTCTCACGGAAGTCTGCCACATAGTTCACTCAAAACCCTGAGCCACGACGGACTGTCAAGAAGACGAACACTGCGGCCAAACTCCTCAAGCACGGGCTTGGGCCTTTCAACTCTCAAGCATCCAAGCATCACAGCAGACAACTCTGTGATTCCACTGGCACCAGCGGGCAAGGATGCCAGGGCGACCCCTTTGGCTTCAACATCACAGAGCCTGCAGTAGCACAGGCATCGAGCTTTGCCCCTGCCACTTAGAAGCAGCTTACTACTTCTAGCATTCTTCTTAGTCTTATTGTTGTTAATGCTCTGACTCTTATCTTCTTACAAAGATAAATGACAAGCAGTGCCATGTGTGTATATATAGATATATGAATCCGATGCGGCAGCACCCCCACCTCCCAAATGGTTCAAATGGTTGCCCCCCCCCCCCCCCC